TTTTTACCTCCGTTGACCTTCATGACCTCTAATATCTAGGAAATCGAGATTTACATACGACGGTAAGCTATGCAGCACCGAAATAGCTTTCTATCTAATATGAGTGCCAGCCATTCACAAATAAGCCGTCCTTGTGATATCAATCGTCTTGACTGATCTACTTGGCATTATGGAAAGACTAATTACATTTTCTCTAGTTCATGTAAGGCTAAATAGTGTGTGTGGTACATGTGTTCGGTAGAATGCAAGCTGTTCCTTTCTATGAGTATCTTAGAATGAATATGTGGACACACCCTGGTGCCGCACACTAAAGGTTCACCATACCATATGGATGCACATGGACTTTCAGAGCGTGCGTAAAACTAACAGTCAAAACATTTATTTATCTTAAGACACTCGATGTATCACTTCCTTTGAGTTACAAGGTTTTGTCGCTTTCATCTTATCCATAAGTTAGTAAAGATCTGAGGAGAAATCCTATTTGAACTGGTAAAGTGCATTTAAATCTCGTACTGTGACGTATGGAAATAGATCAGCGGCGGCCATTCTTTCTTGAATTACATTCAAACTTATGTTCAATTTTGTTCTTATCTTTTTTTCTTTTTTTTCATAATTAGATTCGACTATGCGTTGAAAGAGTCAGGGCTGCTGCTTCTATATGATTTGCATTTCTATTTATTTTGTTCACTCGAACATCCATTGTACCTTTGGCAGTATGCATTTATAGAGGAAACAACAAAAAATGAGGTATACCTACAAAGACGGACACAAAACTACTGCGAGTTACAAAGACGTTGTTTTGAACCCAAAGAGTTAATTTTGAGAACGAAAATGATTTTAAGACTACGACGCCACATGTTACAGATGGATGTCTTCTGAACAATACGTATCCTCTAGCATGACTACTGTCACACCTCTGTAGGTGTGCCGTTCAAGTTGTACCGTCACCATCCCTGAATGTGTACCGTCACCATCCCTGAATGTTTGCCGTCATCATCTCTGAAAGTGGGCCATTACCATCCCTGAAGGTGTGCCGTCACCATCCATAAAAGTGCGCCGTCAACATCACAGGAGGTGTGCTGCTACTATCCCTGAAGGTTTTCGGTCAACATCCCTGATGGCGTGCCATAACCATCCCTGAAGTTATGCCGTCAACATCCCTGAAGGTGTACCGTCACCATCCCTCAAAGTGTGCCGTCAACATCCCTGAGGTTGTGCCGTCACCATCCCTGAAGGTGTGCCATCACCATATCCCTGAAGGTGTACCGTCACCATCCCTGAAGGTGTGCTGTCACCATCCCTGAAGGTGTGCCATCACTATCCTTAAAGGTGGGCCGTCAACATCTCTGAAAGTGAGCGCTCACCATTAACAGACATAGAGAACATGTGTTTCCACACTCATGTCATCAATAAACATTCTGGTCGATAGATATGGATCTATAAATGATGCACGGTTGATAATGAAGCGTTTACATATATAATGTACGTTTGCATCGATTTAATTTGTATCACCAGTAGTTTATACACAAACAGTCATTTTGCAACACGTGTTATAAGTTTATGTATATCTCTGTATATTTAACACATTAACAAGTACTGAAAAGTGTGTTTCTATACGAGGTATTTGGAATCAGAAATATACTAAAGCCTGTTCCATATTTGGAAAAAGGATATGCATTTGCTCAAGCACATAATCATTGGTGCATAACAATATTTACATTTAAATTTGAAACATAAGTACAAGTCGAACAGATCTCCTTTCCGGATGCGCCCCTATCGTAAAGAGGGATCTATTGACAAAATTACTGAAGCTCCTACTCATAGGTTTTACGACTCGGTCCATATATCGCAGTAGCATTTGACTGCAGCTGGACCTTATCTAATACAACGACAATAGAGTAAACAATGACCTAATTCAAAACTATTTTGGTTAAAATGGATTCTTACCAGGCTTTGGTATAGCATTCCTTAGGGTCCGCATTTTATCCATTTAAATAAGTGAAAATCAATGTTCTGCAAAAACGTACATATCAAATTTAAACATTTTAAACTTGCGCAGTAATAACAATTACAAAGATAATTTGACTACTACTTAATACACAAATATGTAACTGTATTGTTGTTTTCTCTCTCGTTACTTTTACATTATAATATAGTAAGCGATACATTAACTAGACGTTAATATACACCTAGCAATGAAACGATTAATTAGTTAATTGTAACTGGAAAAGAAAAACCCATCCCCATGCCATTTTTTGTGGCATTTACAAAGGTATCGATAAAAGGGCAAGATGATAGTTGTGTTATGCGTGGTCAACAGAAAAACAAAATCTCAACTAGCAATGAACACCAGATCCGCATCGACTTTAAATATGTCTGGGTATTAGTTGTTAGTAAACCGAGCGTTGCGTGCTGGATGGACATCAGTCTTTACGATGTAACATAAATAAATCAAGAAATCTATTTGTACTTCCCTGCGATCATCCTTTAACGTAGACATAGAAAAACAAATAAATCTCCCAGGCCAATCATTGTAAGCCCTGTGGGAAATGCAAAGAATTCTGCATTTCATTTACGTGCAGCACCTTTTTCTTATTTGACATGACGCATACTATGCTACACTGTGTGTACGTCAGGGGAAAAAACCCAACCGAGACAATTACCAAGAGACCCTCTTCTTCGAACTTTACACAATCGTTAGTGCTATTGAAAAGTACATTTTCAGATGAGCCGAAACACAGGAAATCCAATGATTGGAAGTTAAAAGCTTTGCGATAGTTCGATAACTGTATCAAAGTGTCATTAATGGTATCATTATGCCGTTTAGGTTACCATAATAAAAGGCTTTACCCCAGTAACAAAATATAATTGATAAGGTTTTCTCCGTATTGACCTCGACACTTTGAGATTTGAAGATATCTCATTAACAGCTTCAATAATGAAACATTTGGCGAATTTCTAGTCTCTAGTTTTAGACTGACTCGACTACAGGCAGTGTTGTTTCCCTTCATTACATGTAGGTAGAGAATGATGTATATTGGTTCGACTCTTGATGAAATTATACAGTTGTTTATATCCCTTTTCCTCTCACAAGTATCTGAGATAGAAAATGTGTAAACATATAATTGACAACAATGTATTATGCTACCCTTCTATCGGTTTTTCTGGATATTTTCCTATTCACCAAGAACTACTCAGCCAGGGTGTTCTACACCGAAACCTTCAATGTTCGGTACAGACATCAATATTGTTGTCTTTTTGTATAGACACCGGTTCTAGATCTGTGTTTATTTGTTGATTATGTGGTACATGCATACTATTATAAAATGCAAAGAGAGATTACACTTTTATATATCTTCATTGTATCTTTATGACACATTTTAATACCAAACAGGTTTCTCCAGAACAACTTTAATAAAACAAGTTTATTCTACATAACATTCCATTAAATAGAAGTTCTTGGCTTAACATGACATTGTCTAGGCCAATGGATACGGATACAGGGACGAAACCGATAAAAGATATGAACAGTTTACCAATAATTAAATGTTTACCAAGTGATGAACTTTTCGTGTGATGTCCCCATGAACCTCTCGCTACATGTAGCTTGTTATCTAGTGAAGTGCCATGCCACCATGCAATCTCTCGTTAGTGTGGCGATAAAATAAAATGGCATTGCAATGTCCAATTTGGTCAGCAGGTATCAGTTAAACAAGTGTGTTGGAAAGCACATTTCAGTTAAACATTTGAGTGATCAAACTGCTTGAGACAGCAATTTTACGTAAGCTAGCCGATATCAGCTTAACATTTTTGTGGGCATTGGTCATAACTATACTTTTCTTATACATGTAGCAAAGAAGTATTTTACATTCTAAAGCAATGCTTTCAGGAACCGAGTTATTGTATTGTAATACGATCGATCCCTATTCAGTTACATCACATTGAAGATAAAGTGTCAAAAGGTCCAGGAAGAAGGAAACAAAATGATTCAATTTCCAGCTAGAAGTGTATAATCCTCCACGGCCCTGTCTACACAGTAATTACAACATAATATTTGTGCTGCTGAGATGGCCTGAGCTGTCCAGAAGCTCATCACAAGTGAATTCTTTATTGCACATAAATTTCTCACAGAGCTCGAAGTTCCTTAAAGGACGTACTCTTTGGCGCATACTTCCGGCATCATTTTCCCAAATCAATACATAATTAAAATTTACATCTGACGAAGTTTGAATCCCGTTATTGGTTATATTGCATTCTGCCACATGCAGTTGCTTTGTTCAGAAACGAAAATAGAAAAAGCAAAAAAGAACTATTTGCGAAGTAATGAACTGCTTATTCTTAGCATATGCTCTTAACACTGCTCTTTTATAGACCGGGAGTTCTGTTCTCATGTGTGACGCATACTAAGGCCAATTAAAGCTTGGCGTTGTCAGAGGGACCATGTCGGTTTGCGCGAGACACAGACCCATAAATGTGTTACATGTGATAGATTGATAGGCAACTTTATAGATTTCTTTTCCTCTTATTGCAATCCGATTTAAGCCGGTTTATTTTCTCTCGTCCGCAGAAAACAAAAACAAAATTGATTCTATTATAAGAGCTATAGTGGACATATGTGGTGCGAGTGTATTTACAGTGATTTATGTTGCCCCCGGTTTATGAATGAATTATTGATATCCAATATATGTGTGCGGGATATTTTCGCACTTGGTGTAGTCATAACTCTTTGGAAAAAAGTTATTGCACAGTTCGTAAAACAATTAAGACGGACAAATTAATGCACGCTTTCAACGATAAGAGCAGGCTTTGCAGTAGACCACCTATCATAAATAAGTACTCATCGGAATTGGAACCGCAAAATCGTGGTACACAACCTTGCTACATTGAAAGAAAATTTAGAGAATTGAGTTGGTGATTCACATATTGAGCTCTCCTGTGAAGAAGATTGGAAAGTTTGCTGAAGTAAACATACGAGGAGTTAACGCTGTTAAGTGGTAGCAGGGCAATTGGAGACTATGAATGTTTTATCAGCAATATCGGGTAAGTGATTTCATAATTTTGAAATGTTGTATTTAAGCACATCGCAATAATAATGTTTTAGAACGTTAGTAATGCTAAAATCGTTTTTGAATACTGCCTTTAGGCTGTAGAAGCTGAGCGTTCTTATAACTAGCAGCGTTCCAAAATTCACTGTCGTTATCAGTATTCGAATATAAACTTTATCATTTCCACCTTACAATTTTCTTACGCTGGATATAATTGTTATGTGTCACATGTAAACTCATGAATAGTGTTGTTGATTGACCTATCCAAAGCTTGCATTGGATAGCGCTAAAACAGTAATATTTAGTAGTGTCTGTTGTGACTGCCATGTATAAGTGTCAACGCATTTTAGGAAGCTGCCGTTGACGGTTCTCTATTGTAGCTTTGAACACACTATCAATGGTGATCTGATTTGAAGGCATTGTGTACATGTGCTGCTGATGTTTAGCTTGTACATCTGACGGACGATAGTCTGCGTGCGAATCGCCATTGATAAATGATGTGACGTAATAATTCATATAACAACAAAAATGTAATCAGACGTTTTTTATTCAAGATTGTGTATTTTATTTTATTGATAAGACATGGATTGCGGTATTTATTATAAAGGATATTCGAATCAGTCAAGCTTTCAGTCAATGCCTTTTTTCTGTATATTTGAGGAGGTTTTCTTTCGATAGAATATCAACAGCTTTCCCTATATAGATTATTATATATGGTATGATTCGTATCCCTTTGTACGCGGTACAGCATTGTAATGGAAGCGTGCTCTATTGTTAAATGTAAATTGCTAGAAACGATCAAGGAACACAGCACTGGCCTAGTTAGCTTAGCACATGCATAGTAACAATGTGTATTCAGAGAAGCCGATTTCCTGAAATGTAAATAATCCAACCGCACGCAAACCACGGCGTGAAATTGATCAACGTACAGATGAGTGCAGCGGTATCAGGTTTATGACATTATAATGCTTACTTTTAAATGCGATTTCTTTTAAATTGTGTTCATCAAAAAGGTTTAAATATGATTTTATGTGGATAATTCGAGTGTAGTTTAAGAGATTTCTTAAACATATCTTTTGTGATACTAGGAATAAAAACTAACTACGACTGTGAGTCCTGATTGTTTAATTAACACTCAATTGAGGTTGAAAGTAGACAATTCAAACCCAAATGTTGTAACAATTGATAATGAAGAGTGCTTACTTTTGGTTTCGGTTCATTATAATCATAGTTGATGAAGTGATAATTCATGCAATGCTAATATTGTGTGTCCCAAACTTATTTTTCTCAATTTTCCATATTTTTGTGACTTGTTTTGTATATGATAGAGTCTGCCAACGTATAGTAAGTCATTACGTTTCATGATCGATCATTATTGATGTTATACCTTTGACAATATGCTGTTTTCGTGATATGTTTAGTCTCCAAGCTACATTAATGTACTTTGGCCTATTCATAGGTCATCGTTACCTCTAGCATAAGGTTTATTTTAAGGCGAAAGAAGAATGTAAACAAAGATTGATTCTATTTAAAAATATGTTTGATATTACAAACTGGATAAGAAAAAAACCAATCCACATTTAATCGGATAAACAATGGAAAAGAGAAATAAATCGGTGATGTTAGATAATTCTGCAAAATATTTACGTGGGTACTGGTCAGAGCGGTTTAACGTGTCCTGTAGAAGTATGTACTTCCGAAGACAGCTAACAGTGGAGCCATTTGGTCGATAGTGTTTTATGGCGCGCCGTACTTATCGTTTTGTGTTGTTTTGTATTAGGATTGTAAAGAGGAGAAGTGGATATATTGGATAGCAATTAGGTGACAGTAATTAGTACTATACCAGAAGATCTCGGTGTATTGCTTCCATACGTCCACTACTAGATCAACGTTACAAAATAATTTGTTAATACATATAAAAAGTCGGGCACATCAAGCAATTGTTAAGCAAATTGGAAATAATGATCTAAAAAATTAATAGCATTAAACGGGATAATGACTGAAACGAGGTACCTTATAGCGAGGCTTATCTGTAAATGTAAAGGGTGAATATCACGAGAAAGTTTTACATCTTCACGTTTATATTATTACTAATACATTATTTGAGTCTTACATAGTAAATACTAATGAAATCCCTTAAATGTTTAATCGTTAATCGAGCTGCAACACTGAGCTGGTTGTCACACAATTAAACCAGTGGTTTAACGGACAAACTTATTTGTTTTATCTATACAAAAGTGTCATTTTAATCTAGTTACCCTTCAATCAAGGTATGTTTACAGGAAACATACCAAGGTTGCTGGATAATCGACTTTTTAAAGGATTCCTTATTCATATTTACGCTTTGCTGTATAACATAATAACAAATATTGCATACTTTATTACATGAACTGGTCAATCACCCCAAAAAAACCGACCCGTTTGAATGAATTTCGGAATAATAAAAGTTCGAAAATGAAAAAAGAAAAATGAAAAACGGGAATAGTAACAAACATCAAAAACACTCTTAAATGAGATCTAATTGTAAACACCTGGTCACGCTAGTAAATGAAAACTTGATAGGTAATTTACCATAAACAATATGTTAAATCTCATTTAGCTGTTCTTGTTCACTCCTTTTACTGTCTGTCCATGATGCCGCTTCTTTTGTCTCCTCGTGTGATCTTAGACAATATTTCATTGAAGAAAATTAACAGTACTTGTTCTATATTCCGTGAAGAGTACCTTAGCTGGTGACCATTTATTGCTTGATCACGTGATATCTCAGATTGTCTCAATGTTTGGTCCATCACTTTGTTTGTATCAAGAATTTGTACATTCGATGGATGAGTTTCATTAAGTGCAGTGTGTAGTAGTATGGCGACTGTAATTTATTGAAGTGTCAGATTCTGAGTGTTGTCAGAGGTTAGTGGGACCCGTATTACAACGCCCATTCATTTTGTTTAACGGCAGCAGAGCTCGGTATAAAGGCTGCCTATTTCTTGTTCTAGATCAGATAGCCCGCTTGGGTCTTGACTTTAGTATGAACAATTCAGTTTTCCTTCTCTGTACATTAGGAAGCAATCGTTCTTGACAGAAGATAATAAAAACTACAATGAAAAAGCCGGTTGTGACAATGGCCTGGTTTTCTGTCATATACATTACAGTGTTAGTCAGATCGGATTTGAGCTCGTTGTGAACTAGGATGATACACGGTATCGTCACAAATTGATTACAGGAGATACATACTGACACAATGTATTGTTTCCATGTGTTTTGTATACTGCAGAAAACAAAACTTGTGTTATACCTCAAATATTAATCTGCTTATATGTTGATAAACAGTACTGAAAATCCTATACTTCTAAGATACAAAACTTAGCCTTATGCCTTTTATTATTAATTGATGTACTTAATGAATGCATGATTTATAAAATTTCGATGGCCTTAATTAGCAAAATATAACATCTATCCATTTCAAGGTTAATATAATTGTATGAGATTAAATTGGCCGAATGTATAACCCTTCGGACATTCAACACATTATAGTATCTTAATCAAGATTGAAACCATCGAAATGACATGTACATTACCGATTTTGTTTTAATTTTGGTTTGAAGGAATCAATAATGATTCACGTGCCTCGAACTCGTCAACAACCATTTCAGAGTCAACCGAAGTGCAATATACTCCACAGAGAATAAGCACAACTGATCCCTGCCCTTTGTACACTTTAAAAATACCAACGTTGACATCTACCTGAGTTATACATGCTACCATCCTCATTCCTAGTCAACAGCGTATTAGCGATGGCACTAGTCTTATAACAGAAATTTGTACATCATCAGAATCATAAGGGTCATACAAAGGTGAATCAGGTCATGTAAGACATGAGGGTAATTGATGTGGTTAAGAGCAGTAGGGATCCATAAAGGTTGAGTGCCGGCTTCTTTAGATGAGTGTTGCCTTGGTAAAACTCAAATGTAAAAAAAAAAGACTATACTGTAATCCTTTCTTTTTTGCCTGAGGTAATAGGCGCTGTAGCCCTTTGGATAGAACTAAGACAAAAGAAACTAAATTATATTTATGACCATACTAACGGTTGTTAAGTAAAATGCTTAAACTCAGGACAAACGACAGAAAATCTTTAAGGTGGAAATGTTCGATTCGAGACATTGGCAATATGCTTAATATTACTAAAGGTAATAATATTAAAATAAACGGTGTTTGATATACCAAATGGTAAGCATATCGGGGATTTTAACCATCAAACAAAAGGTGTGAACAGTTCAATCGTTTCGTGAAAGTTAGGAATGCTGTGGCAGTGTTAAGCTTCTGGTTTTTTTAATACCAGAGCCAAATGTTTGAAAAGATGATAAGCTAAATTAAAGGAAATCAACATCAATAAAAAAAAACATTTTCATTTTTCTTTAGCTTAACTTACAGGTTTACAACTAATTACTTGTTAAGTAGCTATGTGCTGCGTTTGTTTAAGGGTATTACCGAAGAGGTTTATAGCATATTGCTTTTCCTACAACCAACGTATGTATGGTCAGCCAATCACTTAACATGAAATCAATCTTGAAAATCTCTGAAAATATGTAACTGACATAACACTGGTCGATTTATAGGATAAACAAAGTATTATAGATAACATTAAGACGTATCCACAGTACGCATGTATGTTCCCATCCTATACAGAAACCCAAGCTTGATTATTAGATCCTTCACAACTAAGCGTAATGAACTCGTAAATATAATCACTTTAGTCTTAACCATCTAAAAATGAATATCATATCAATTTTACTGAAGTTTAGTTGGCAATACAATATATATAATGTACGAAATTTGTTGCCAGCCTAGGCAGTATTACTTTATCCATAGCGTCTGTTTCTACTAAGTATAATTACAAACCTTTTTCACCTACTTATGTTCTTTCGGGGACTCTGCAATCTCCTATGGTGTCTGTTCTGTAATAACTTCTCAATGCTTCCTGTTTTGTAATAGCTTCCGTTCTAATTATTCCATATTTTGACACTGTATAATTAAATAAACCCAGGCGATATTTCGTCTTTGTGTACCTATTGGTGTCTGGTGTGAAATATATGTCTGTTGTTGACTTCAAATGATGATTGTACTTACCATTACATGTCAAAGTCGCATTTTCTAACAGAACGAATTTTTAAACAAAAATGTTTATTCCTTTGGAGTAGCCATGTTCTTTTCCATATCACTTATATACAATCCCCGTTACTTACACGTGTTAAAGGTGCGCTCTTAATCTGTAATCTTATTGTGTTATTGTGACGTATTAGTACAATTGTGTAAACGTTATATTAATTATTGAAATTATAGCACACAAGTCGACGTAAATGTTTAAATGCCGTTGAAATGCCTTTCTATATTAGTTGTACTATGATAGTATTTATACTCTTTTCAAATTTGAAGAATCAGTTAATCAAGTCATGGAATCTTAAACAGAGCAAACAAACGATATAAACCATAGAGTGTTCTACACGTGATACATCGTGTGCAATTAATACTAGTGATTATCGCAGTGATGAATACGACCATGTTTAAGGCATGACATGATTGATACGGTAACCTACTCGTTATGTTTATTCGACGCTTAATTCTATCAGAAACAAAACTAATATATAACGTAAAAGGCACCTGGAGGGTTATAGAAGCCGTTTCAGATGCAAAACACATTATTTCAACTTTTTCAGTATTTTTAATTACAAAATGTTCAGCTCTTTCAGTGTCCATTTTGAATTTTGAATAACCAACAAAGAAAATATGATTGAAAAGTAGCCCTCTTTGTCCGAACTGGTGACTGTGCATTGTATAGACAATAAAATTAAGGTTTCATTAAATACAATTTCAAAGTCTTTTGCTTCTACAGAGTTTGGACTGGGTGACTCATAGTTTCGTATTTAGGTGGCGTCCCATTTCGGTGGTTGTCTAGCGTGATATTTAAATTTACATTCATCGCAGAGAAGCGCGAAAATATTGATCTCACGACAAATATATGTTATCAGGTATATTTAATTATTGCCTTATCCTTCCTTACTTTAAAATGAGTTGTCTCCCATGCTGATGCCTTCTATCGTATTTTATATAATACAGGCCTGAAACCCCACAACGAGCAAGACTATGATGAAGAGATGACTGGTATTTATTGATATTTTATGTTTTTGCTTTTTTCGTACCGTACTATGTCCATTTTATAAATGTTTGAAGCCTGGTAAATAGATAACTCAAAATAGGTTTAAGTTATCCACATGGATGAATTATCGTATATTTTATGAAGGATTTAACTTCAGAATGTTTCGATACCGTATCCTGGTTTCTCAAGAGTAATGTAAGATACATGTATTTAAAAAAAGCCAATGCAGGTACGTGGTTCTTAAACATTTATAATTCAAATCTGTTAAATGGTATATATGTTCATATCTAAATTATGTGTGCGATAAGATTGAGAAAAGAGTTTTATGGAACAAATATTTCCGACGCTTACTGATTGATAGAGCACAATTTAGCGAAATATTACGTAACGTCCAAAAAGCCAGGCTTTGATCATTTTGTGAAGATATATGGAAATAAAATAGAGACATACTTCTATTGTGTTATTTCACATACATACGAATGGTTCTATAAAACATCTTCTTGTCTATACTGCTTGGTGTTTGGTACTGCATGCAAATCAATCTATATATATACTAGTAAATATACTACTATTGACGTCGCTATGCTTGTTTATTTATGACGTCACTAACATTTTGACTATACAAATATTGATGACGTCATGTAACCCACGGGGATAAATAAACATCAATCCGTCTGAAGAAGCCCTAGAAGGCAGAAAGGCCTAGCGGACGATCTGAAAAAAATATGTTTTTATTCTATATACTAGTATATATGTATGAACATTAGTTCTATTACTTTTCTAATCTATTTTGATATGTATTAGATATACTGTTAATAGCCTTAAATTTGTATGTTTAGTTTTGCTAAAGTGTTTAGTGATACATTTGCGAAAATTTGAATTCGCAAATGGAACATTTAATTATATTTAAACAGGTATTTGCGGTTGTTTTATATGTTGAATCATCTGTCTTGTGAATCAACGAAAAGGGAAATGTCACTCTCAATATATTTGACTAACAGCAACTTTTAAAGAGTTTGAAACCAAACGGGTTTATAACTGAAATATGAAGTATTGATATGAATGATCGCTGTACCATCATAGAATTCACAGTCATAAGGAAGAATACAAAATTCACCTACTTTGTGTGTATATTCAGAAAGCTACAGACCACTGTTAAGTATATAACTCATCATCACATCTGATGGTCAATATTTTATAATTTTCTACTCTGTGAGTAGATGTAAAGCCTCGAAATGAAAACTCTTAAATATTCACACACTGTCCATGAATGATGTAATATGACGCTTGTACTGTATATGGGTCATTCATCTATTTTTTCTTTCAAAACATATGCATTATTTTATTACAGTCGTTATTGTTTTTCCTTTTTGATAAAAGAAATTATTTTTCAGAATGTGTATTTTTGCCTCAACAGTATATGTTACATGTAATATGTACTTGAATCAGTCGACGTTTTTAATCGGATCAAAGGTATTTCCTACACCTTTATGAGTAAAACATGCTGGCTACTGCATAGAACGACATATTGACTTTTATGTAATAGGATTGGTACAACTATGTAAAATATATATATACGGTGTATTCTATTGATATTACTGTATAAGACAATTTTGAATAATAAACGGAGTGTTACTTGGGATAATAAGGATATTCTATCTATTGCATGCTAAGTAAACAAGCTGTAATTTGCTATTATAGATTATGCTGGAAAATTAAGTTTACTTTTGCATCTTTTCTAGATGTTGTACAATACATAACAAACTAAACTAGCATCTTATTGTTGTGGAATTCGTATTATGTTCCATATTTTCAGATGCAGAAATGGCCTTAAAAAAAATGCTTGCAATCGTAGAATTACCAGGGTGAATACAATGATATATCTTCTCTTTTAATTTTAGACGTAATATATTTAGTTAACATCAAATATTGATCTAACCGCTTACAATTTTTTAGCAAGGGGACATTGGGGTAAGACCGTCATGGAATTAAGTTTCCTTAGTAAGACAACGTTAAAATGGCGGCAGTTATGAAACCGTCCTTATATCGTGTGCCCCCTCGAACAACTAAAGCATGTTTCATTCTGCCTTACATAGATTTCAATGGCAGTGACCGTCCGTAAAGGGATGTTTTTCTATTCCTCGACAAGTGCATTAGCTAACTGGGGAAGGTTATTTGACGGGAACAGCGAGTGCAAGCTCTCCTGTCTAGTCTATGTCACGAGTGTTTGACTGGGGACACATTTGGACAATTTGGAGGCCACTTAACAGGGACATTGATATGTTTTACAGGAAAGTCCAAACCATAACCAAATCACCAACAAAGCGCATAGCGTCCACGCAAGTACACACGTTGGCGGCCATCTTGCTCTATATAACGTGAACATACATTGCCCTCCAACGTCTCAAAGGAAAACGTCTGGGCTAATGTGCCGTCAACCATCGCAAACGACACGGTAGACCAACGTACCGTTCTGTTTCTTTTTTTTGTTAAGCAAGTAATATAACTTATCCCAAGAGTATTATTCCATTTGTTCATGTTGACTTAACTGTACAAAACTAAATCAATCTGCTACTGCAATACAGTAATACAGTGCATATCAGAAGAAACCTAGCCATTCCATTATACAGTTGTGGTACCGCACAACGCACCAAAAATAGCGTGCGCACACCGTGCATACATCGTTCACACACCGTCCGCACATCGTCCACACATGGTGCGCACAACTGTGCGATTTAGCAATCGTTCGCCCCGTTGTGCGCTTCTCTCCGCACAACTGTGCGATTTGGTATCATTTGTAGATCAAAATTACGGAATGACAAAAATACGGAAGGCTTGTGTGCGATAATGTACACTGTGTATATATCTGTAATTTCTCATCNTGTCTATAGCTCCCATTCACCTGGATTTTCACACCCCGGCCTTACCCGACGAGTTACGTAAGTGCCCCAGGCGGGGGGAAAACTACGGTCCAGGTACATGTACAAAGTGGTTATATTTACCTGTATACGAGATTGTGTTGTAATTTTACATGTGTCGATTAAGTTTGTTTAAAAACACAGAAATTACAATTTGTAAATATAAGAATGTATAGATAGAAAGATAAGTTTATAGATGTTGCTAGAATATAGAAACATACGTAAACATCAAGTTTATATGTTTAAACATGAAAACGTATATGTTGTCGAGGCATTCCTCAATTTACACCAACCACGATTGTTATCGCACAACGTCCGTCCATCGTGCGCACATATGTGCGCAAGCAATGATCGTCCAGCTTTTTATCGTTCGCCCATCGTGCACACACCGTTCACACATCGTGCACACATCGTGCACACATCGTGCGCACACCGCACATCGTGTAACGTTGTGCGATCCCATAACTGTACCTAACATCGCCCGTATCACGTGCGTACGCGTTCTTCCTAAGTAATTTCCTGTACTGGACATGAAGAAGGTCTTTGTCTTTTACAGTAGTATTAGATAGTGTTTAGATAATTCGTATTGATTAAATGTAATAATACAACCTATAGAATGTTCGATGAGGACACACACTATAGATAGAAAGGTGAGTTGATCTTTACGTTAAACATGTAAGGTACGTTAGTAACGAAACTCAAGGCAAGAACATAATAAAATCAATTAGAATTACTATAGTTGGTGCAATGCATCGGGTCTAATGTTTATAAATGAGTATATATGTGTACATGGTATTCACCTTATCGCTGATCATCGTGGTATTTCTGTTCTTAATAAGATATACATGTATGACCACGCATGCTGTTTTCAATTTCAATTTGACCGATTCTTAATTTTTGTAGCCTGAGTCATTGGCAATTCTATTTAATAGAAGAATGATAATTATCTATTTAACACAGGTTGAGAAGGGTTTAATACCCCGAGTGAAATCGATCGATATCGCCATGTTGATGGTTGTTTGAAAATATTTATTGCTTGTTACGAATATTCAAGGACACTATGTCTTTCTATTAGATATTGTGACGGAAGCCAATGAACCCCATCTTCACTGAAGCACTGACTCACTGTTTTGTACCAGTTTTGACTGGAGGCGATAAATCTGCGGTTAAATCTAAAATGACGTTCATTAATCAAGTGGATAATGTCAAATTGATGATTGCTACCGGCGGAATCGCTGCTGTTTCTAATCCTGCAATCTTTTTGGGCGGAACAATATGTTCGTCTCAAAATACACAAATGGTTATTGGAAATTGAATACACAGCCAATGTTCAGACACATTTTTGACAGTATTTCAAGATCTTTTCTGAAAAATATAATGTCAATACACCTTTACGTTATGGCCTCTCTTGTCTATCGGAAATTCCGCACGTTCGGGTAGGTCTGCTCATCTGCCATTCAATGAAGACACCAATGACTGGTTTGATATTCAGCAAACTCTGACTTCACAGGTACAAATTGAAGCTACAATAATATCGGCCAGACGTTTCTGGTGGCCGCTAAGCTTTTCCATGTACAGTGGTTTCATGCTATAGTGCATCAATGGTAGCATAAATCAACTTGGTTTAGATGTCGATTTGACCATTTCGTTACTTGTTTCTATTTCCACATACAAAAACATATGTTTATAATGACTTCAAATGTGTCAATATTTTGTTCAATAAAGATTTCATGTACATTTATATGGTTTTCCCCAGATGCGCAATAGACGAATTTCATGTAGAACACCAATGTGAGATAGCTCTAGCCATCGTAGGTGCACTCTATGACATCCAGTTCGGGAACTTGATCAGTTTCATTTCGGATGAGGCACCTTAACATATAGACCATCAGTGTCATTGTTCTACATCCTATAATGTATATATTGCATGCATAAACTAGTAAGTAAATTCGGTGAGTGCAATATCTTAATTGGAAATGATGTTCATGATCTAATTACACTTACAGAATTATCATTTTGCCATCTTATTGTGTTTGTCTTTTAAGAGTTCCCTTTGGCACTAAGAGTACATGCAGCTGAAATGAATA